CAATAAATAACTAAAATATTATTAACTTAATAAAGTTTCAAGAAAATTAATGATTTTAAAAATATATAAAAAAAAAAAGTTTACATAAATTTTTATTAAATAATTTGATATTTTGCTATTAATAAGAAAAATTTGGTTTGTTATTTTAAATAGAATTTTATAGAATAACTTTATTATGTTAAAGAATTTTAAAAAATTTATATTTTTTTAATGTTTTATATTTTAAACAATAGATAAATTTAATTCAGTACCATTCAAATCAATATATAATTTTTAGAATGATTTAGTTAAGAATCTACATTTTTTTCAATTATACGTATGTGAACTAGAAGGGTCTTAATCCCAAGTTTATTATAAAACAAAATATTATTTCCAAGATCAAACTTAGAGGTTATTATAGCTTACAACAAGTTGTTAGACTTGTAGTTTAGCTATAGTATGTACCATGCTGCTCGAATGAATTGTACTTATATATTCAATTGATTAATAAGCTAAAATCTAGCTTGGCTGCAAGTAATGCAAAAAAATAAAATAAAATAAAATCCGTTTGTGGTAAGTTACGGTCACTACGATCTATTTATTTAAATTCTTTTGCTCACATTAGATCAACGTACGACATTTGAATGCCAAAAAAAATCGATCACAGGATTTTGCTCTCAAATAAATTTTTAATATTACATATGAGCAATCAACTGTACTATATATGAACTATACTACATGTTTGAACGGAGTAAAAATAATTCGTGAAAATTAGCTAGCCAATTAACTATAAAAGTCGCGAAATTTCACAAGGGAAATTGTCTTATATACCGTCAGCATTACAATATGACTAAGGAACATTAAAATGCTTATAACACGGTGTGATATAGACCACCTATACATGTTTTAATATCATCTAGATGAATACGGTTGTCTTTGTCTTTACAAACTTTCTGTAAGTAATTCGAGAAAACTTTATTGTTAGATAATTCCGTTAACGTTTTATCCATGGGCACCGCAAACGTAATGGATCCTCTCTAAGAAACCTATTATAAGAAATAAGAAATATAAGAAATAAATCACCAATGCTTAAAAATTAAACATTAAGAGCAGATTAATAAAACATACTTGTGAACGAACATATTCCAAGGTATCCATCAAGTTGTATACTCGTTCAAAATGTAATATTGATTCTTCATGTCTTTTTACGATTTCTCGAGATCATGCATAAGTTGTTTTTCAAACTCCTTCCGTTCCACAATTTCCATCACAAGCTCTAGCTTTTCTTTATTCATTATTTCTATAATTTCTTGGTTTTCGACCTCTCTTCTTTCAATAACCTCACGAATTTGATCATTTAAGATGGTTGGATCGAGTCTAAATGAGTCGCCTTCATTAAGATTTTCAGGTTCTCTTCGCTAGGCCCTTTCTTTCTGGCATCCCATTCTCTTTGTCGCACTTAATATGTTAATGAAAATATTCATTAGCAATAGCCATATTTCCATTAGTAGTATAGTAAACGTAAGTTTCTTTATAATAAGGAAGGATCATAACCAATTCTTCATCTAGAATCGATAGACCTTATTAAAGAAAACTTCAATAGGTCGCTCCTTTGTGGTGCCGGATGACTAACATTATCGAACGGTAACCACCTTTGCATCATTGTTTCATATATAAACAAATCGCTTCGGTGATCTCACAAAGGAAACCCTCCATGGTGCCGACGACCATGTTAATCAAACCGGTAACCACCATTGCAACATGTTTCATATATGATGACACCTTTTCACTGCATCGAACAAATTACTTTGGCGATCTCACAAAGGGAACCTAAGGGAAAGGAATTTACCACTACTAAAAGATATATGCCTACCTGAAAGAAGTTAGTCTTCTGTTTACGTTTACGACGGGTTCACTGATTACACGAAATACAAAAAACACGTAAATCGCAATAAATACATATTTTTGTGGTACAATTTTTCTAAATTTGCAGGTAGTTGCACAAGGTCTGATTGTTAGATCGGAAGGACACGTTTCAAATTTATTTATTTAAATAAAAACTTGATCCTTACTAATAATGGTAAAAAAATTCCTAAAGAAAAAGAACTAGTTGTGAAGTGCTTAAAAACCCTTTCTATCTTTAAAGCAAGTTATTGTAAAAATTTTTTGTAATGAAAAATTTATCTTCTTTTCTTACTAGCTATCTATATTTTTTTTAAAATTTCTAGTTTTATAATTTTTGAGAAATTTTGTCTACTTCAATTAAATTAATTATAATTAATAATGGGTTTCTAAAGTTTAACATTAATCAAAAGTCAAATTTTTATAATCAAAAGTCAATTTTATAACTTAAATCAATGTTTTATAATTGAAAATCAATTTTTTATAACCAAAAATCAATTTTATAATTTTTTTTTTTTTTTTAATTATAACCCTCTGTCAGGCTAGTTATGTGTGCTTTATTAAACAATTGTAAGCTGTACAT